GTCTTCTGTTTTTTTTTTTTCTTTTTTTTTTTTTTTTTTCTGTTTTTTTTTTTTTTTTTTTTGTTTTATTATAAAAAAAAAAAAAAAAAAAATTGTTACACGCGTCCTTCATGTGACAAGATTGTCTGTGCAATTTGATATAAAGCTCTTTTTTTTTTTTTTTAATACTGCTACAGAAAAGGAGCTTTTTTTCGTTCCTAGTTATTTCCTTTCGTGTTTTAAACATTTTTTTGACTTATTAATTTATTGACTAATGCCAAATTTTACGAGAAAGAAGAAATCTAATATTTAACGAAATCAAGAAATTTCCGTTATAGTGATTGTTTCTTTTAGGACTTTAAGGTATATATACATTAACAATGCAAAGTATCCCCATATTTTTCACAAATTCTGCTTAATAATAACAAAAGAAGCTTCTCCTCGTCTTATTTTTACTATTTTTACCACTTTATATCATTCCAGAGAAAAATACGCGTTAATAACTGAAAACTTGAAGGTATTGAGATTGACGTTTATTAAAACCTTTGGTTCTACTTTGGCGCCAAAAGACGTTAAAAGCCGCCTGAAAACCAAATACTTGGTTTACCTTAACGACTCCTGCTCCTCGAGTCCTTTGATCTTCTTTTCACGTTAAAGTGTAAAAAGGTTTTTAACGTTTTTTAGTGCAAAAAAAGGTATGTAAAAATTTTGACCGCAACCTATTGTTTACCGGTTTGTGTTCTTCAAACGTTTAACATATGTTTACTATTAACAATGATAGTAGTTTAGAAGTTTTTCTACGTATTTATTTGTTGACAAACTTCTCTGTATTTGCGTTATATTATACATTCTTGCTCAATAGATTTGTCATAAGACGAAAATTCGAAATTGTAAAATAATTGTATATAATTTAATAACTTTGTATACTTATGAACTAATTATTCATTAATATAATGGAGAAACAAAAGTAAGTACCGACTTTTCATTGACACAAATGTAATATATATTTATATTGAATCATACCATATACTAACAATCGTGTTCACCCAAAGATATTTATATAAAAACTCAAAATGCGGCGGAGGAACATCATCAACTGTATCACTCATCAATGCGTGGATATCCATAACGGGGCAACGCAATATACAAAAATACCGGTAAGTCACAAATCTCTTTTCCTTTTTATCACACGGAAGCAGGATAAGTGAACTAACCACACTTATGATTGATAGTTCTATTGCATATTTAGGGGGTTTCACCTTAATTGCATTCGCTACAATATGGTTCTTGTCACATTCACCGACATATAAAATCGAATATGAATCAAAAAAAAAATCCGAAAAATCCGAAAAATCCAGTAAAAAAAGCGATGGTAAAAATAAGCCGGGCAAGCATGTCAACAACACGAACAAAAGTTCTTGGTGGTCTGCTATCCGTGAAAAAATAACTAGCAAGTTAGGATTTGGCAGGAAATCAAAGTCGCAAAAAAATGCAACGAAAAAACCTTCGAGTTCAAGGAGCAATAATTCGAACGGTTACAATAAAAACAAATCAGATGGTAAAAAACGAAACTTTGGACTGTGTGGATCTGATACCAAGTCAAATAGTTCGATTGGCTCAAGTCATGACGCAAAACTTGCAAGTATAACAAAGAATGATGATCCAATTAGCAAGAAAATTCAAGATATTCGAATTGGATCCGGCGGTAATGGTAGCTCCTGCAATAGTAATACTAGTAATGATAGCATGCGACAAAAGGTTCAGATGAATAAAAAATTTCGGAATGGATCTTGTGTTGACAGTAACGTATCTATCAACAACCCTAGCAATGATGGTTTGCAAAAAAAGGACTTTCGGGGAATCCAAGTTGGATTGCCCAATAGCAACTTTAATTATAATAGTAATGTAGCCAAACAGCAACCTTTACGAAAATTGAAGTTAAATGCTCAAGGGGTTCGTCCTTCTGATTCTTCTAGATATTATAAAATGCCATCGAGAAGTGTGGAAAACAAATACTGGTCAGGTGATCATTCCAAGACCAGATCAGCACCGCCTATTCACGACGTTAAATGTCCCAAGAATTCCTTATGTCAAGACATGGATAATAAGGAATCAAGTCGTCAACTTACTGATATGGAAATGAGGATTACAGAGACGGTCAAAAAAATAAACTCGATCGAACTTCAAGGTATGTAATTCATATTTTTTTGTTGGTGATAATTAAGTGTTAATATATAATAATAAGCAAAACATTTTCATTTTATAGTCGGAGAAAAAGATCGAGAATTTTACATTCCTTACGAACCACTGACATTACATGAAACTTCAGATAAAATTGCGCAAGAGCGTGTTGAACGTTACAAACAACTTTTGATAAAACTCAGGAAACAAAACCAACAAGATTTAAACTTTGAATTTACTCTTGAAAAAGTTCAAGAGAATTTTCATGAAAAAAAATATTATATATTATTCGAAGAAGATGACGATGACAATTACTTTGAAGAAAAAAAACGAGCCGATCAATCTGATGAGCACAATGATTTCTTTGACAGTATGGAAACCAAAATCACAGGAAAGGATAACGTCAATTGCGACAAGATTCCAAGTCTTACCGATGTACTTGCACAAGATGAACAAGCATCTAAGAAGAGAATTGAACGAAACTTCGAAATTCTAAAGATGCTTGAATCATATCAACAACAAGGCAAAGAGACTGAAGCGAACATCAAAAAATCGATTGAGATGTTCCATGAACAAAATGCCCAATGTAAAGGGGCAACGCGACATTTAAAGCGGCCCTCAAGATTCCATGACGAGTTCGATAGGTTCGAAGACCGAATGATGGATGTCAAACAACAAGCCAAATATCTAGCAATAGGTCTAGATGACATGGATTTGTACATTAAGGAGACTCTTGAACTCTCTTATGATGATGATAAAATGGACATTGCAGTGACCAAACATGGTTCTATATTAATTGATGATGATTAAACTATTATTTGCATGGAGATGACAGCTGAGGGGATGTGTATTATAGTAAAAAACAATTTTTAATCGGTAGAAAACACGTGTAATATTTTTTCAACTAAAAAAAAATTAAATTTTTGTACATAAATAAATTGTAAATAAAAAGTTATTTATACATTTTTGCTTGATGCAAAATATACTTTATTGATTTCATTTCAAATGAATATAATGAATAAACAATAAACATCAATAAAATTGGAAGGAGTCAAAAAAATGTTTTAATTTAATAATTACTATAAATACATACTTAGGGCAAATTGAAAGGGTATTTTTAGAAAAATTCATGATGAAACTCAAATAGTTGAATCCCCGTATTATCTACTGAACATCTTTGGAGAATTTTACCAAATCAATATAACGAATTTCTGTGTTACTAAATTAAACTAACTTTATAATCACGTTTAAACTTTAATCATTCAACATATTTCATTCTCTAAGTAATTATAGTGAAAATAGATGATGATTCGGGTTCATCTTTTAATTCCAAATCTTCAATATTAATTGTAATATACTTTTTATCCTTGTTATTTTCAGTATCGATAGTTTTCAACACATACTAAAGATATGAAAATTTTTTTTTATTAAGACACTAATTAACATCATCTTTTGTAACCGATAACATACCTCATTTTTTCCTAATTGTTCAACTTTAATCCAATAAATTTTCTCATTTTTAGATTTCCATATAATTCTCCTCCCTTCTTCATCATGTAACTCTCCATTTTGATCAATTCGAAAGATGGAATGTTGTTGCTTTTCATTTAATGGATCATCTTTATTCCAATGAAATTGTAATACAGAATTCTTTGTATCTTTAGTTAAAAAATGTCCATCATGAGCTCGAATTGCTCCACGAGTTGGTAAATTTTGTTCCTTTATAATATGCATATTTGAGAAACGGGAAATGAATCATTTAATTTACTTCACTATCTGCCATGTATAAAGTTTTTTTTATTAAATAAATAAAATTAAAAAATATAGCGAGTATTTATGACGAACGAAAATTGCTATTACGTATCTTTGATATCATTATGATTTAATATATAATTAAGACCTATTCGGTAAAAAAATTTACCGGAGCAAATTTTTGCTTATTAATACAGTTGCCAATAATTGCTTAGTATTGCTTATCGTAATATCGTTATCAATGAAAATCATATAAGACTCAAAAATCGTAACTGAAAAATTATCAAACTGCTTAAAATGGAAAAAGAAAAATTGAGCAGAGGAATAGAAATAAGTAGTATGAACAGATAAATCAAAATTCTCTCTTTTCCATCAAATAGTTGAGCAAGATTATGAAAAAGTCCTTATAAAGCATATAATAATTCAAACTCTCTCATGTATTTGTCTGCACACAAGGCAACTAAAAAACTTGGAATCTTATCAGATACCTTACATTGTTGGCTAAAGCAAGGAAGAATTATTGCTAAAACGACTCCTTCTGGTACTCGCCTTTATGACAAATCTTCCATTTTTCCAGAGTTGACTTCCTAAGATGTCGATTACACTACCACCACCACCACTAAAAAAGGGTTTCTCTATGCATGAGTTTCTAGTGTCAAGTAAAAAGAGGATTTTGAATGGCAGAAACAACTTCTCAGATCCTGATACCTAACCTACAAACTCATCAGCAATATTGGATTGGATGTTAACTTCAAGAAACCAGGATTTAAGACCTAATTGGAATGGACAAGTCACGAAATGATCTCAAAAATTGTGATTACCCACCATGATTGATTCTGTCAGTTTGCCTTTGACTTCATCCAGTATATACACTCTCTCTATATCACAAACTCATAGTTCTTTTCGATGATGTGACCTCTGATGAACATGAACTTTTCCAAAATATCCTTACAATTAACACTGTCAAATGCAAGGAAGAAGAGCTGCTCAAATATCTAAAGAAAAAAAAAATTTCTTTCTGATGAAATTTATTAGCAACCAAAATTTTCAAATTTCTATCATTTTTATTAAACAATAATCAAATAGGAAAATATCAACCCAAACGATCAATCTTAAAAATCGAAGTTGGAAACCTGTAGAAAATATTACTAATAATCTTAGATTACATTATGATGAAGAAGAAATAAGCAGTATAATCTGTAAAATCGTCAAATTTGCTAGGGATAATGAAAATCTTAGCATAAATTATTAGTCGGTAAGATTTGTAAAAAACATTTGAATATTTTGAATATATATATATATAGCTGTTTGTATATCTTGATTATTTTATAACAAGAACTTCATAGTTATATTTTTATCTTTTTATAAAATAAATAAAAAAAAAAATAAGAATGTTTTTGGATGCTATTCTCAAGTCAGCTAATCTTTTGCAAACAACATTGAGTTTTAATATCAACTTCAAAGAAATATTAAATAATGAAAAATTGATTTTTCTTAAAAAGAAGAAGAATAGCTAACATTTTTTTTTTCTTAATTTGTACTTTCAAAGAAGTTATTTTACTTGCTTCGTTCGATCTAATGGTAAAATTTTCTAAACAACTTTTCTCTATAAAGTATAATGTAAGTTATGTCTTTGCTTTTTTATTTGTTTCAAATGTGTCGCTAACTAAGAAATTTTGAAATAAATAATATTTCAGATCAGAATAATCAAAATTCAACAAATAATAAAAGTATTATTGGAAAAAAAATAAAAAATCCTACTGCTAGGAAAAAGAAAGGGAATAAGGTTTTGAAAGTATAAAAAATGAGAATAAAGTAGATAACTTAAACATTATTAGAGATCATAAAATTGGTAGTTTAATACCAATAGAAAAAAATAAGATAATAATCAATCATAATATTTCATTTGATTATATAAGGATCTAAGAGGAATACCATTATAAAGCATTTGAAAATAAAAAATATTTTTTTTTTAATTTCCCTTATGTGTTACTGGTTATAAATGGGATTGAAAAAATTTTTAATGTTATTGCATTCTATTCATAAATAAACTTTTAAAAAGCTTAACCTTTTGTAAAATATTTAAGTTTTTTTTCTATTTAATGTTCATTACTGCCATTCAGGCTTTTTTATCCTTGGTGTTTCCTTGTGTATACTTTGTCGCTAGCACTGTAACAATAAAATAACAGCATTTCGTTTACCAGGTGGTATGCAACTTTACGATGTCTCAAATATTGTGAATTCCATTACTATCATCACTACCACCTCCTCCACCGCTACTAAAAAAGGATTCCTCTATGCTTGAATCTCTAGTGTCAAGCAAAAAGAGAACTTTGAGTGGTAGAAGTAACTCTTCATTTCCTAGTTTCCAACCTATAAACTCATCAGTGATATCAGATTAAGAATTAACTTCAAATACAAAGGACTGTAAATCCTATTAGAACAATCATGTGAAGGTCTTATCAGAAAGATTGTAACTTCTCATCATGATCGATTATGCAGGTTCACCTATAAATTCCTCAAGTACGAATTTTCACTCAACTTTACAAAACTCATGGTTCTCTTTGACAATTCAACAATTGACAGATATGAATTGTCTAAAGATATTCTTGTTATCAACGTTTTTATCTGCAGATTGCAAAGAAGAAGAGCGATCAAATACAGAAGGAAAAGAAAAGAAAAGAAAGAAAATATTAACAGTGAGAAAAAACAAAAGAAGAAAAAAGATCGAAAATGTGAATAAAACATTGAAAGTGAAATTGTACCCAAACTTTATATAAAATGTATAATGAAGCGATGGATGAGGCTATTAAGATTGACCTATAATACAATCATTGACTATCTGCAGAAAAGACGGTTTTTGATTGTGCATGTAGATAAAAATGGAAATAAATATAAGAAGATGATAAACTTTTTAAATATAAAATTTCTGAGAAGGATCACGTATTTAAAATTGAGAAGTAAGAAAGCCTATGATGATATTCCAAATAACTTAATTGACAAAACTGTGGATGAAGCTGTTAAAAATTTCAATTCAAAAGATAACAAACCAGATTGAAATTCAAGATCAGAAAAGACCTAAAGCACACCATCACCATACGCATACAAAATTTCTCAAAAAATATTGGAATAAATTTTACATATCATACCTATTCAAAAATACTGATTATATGAGAACACCAAGGAAGAAACCATATGATCACCTGGAAGGATCAAGAAATCTAGGAGCTTTGCATTTTGAGACCAAGAGAAAAAACAACAGTTGGCCATCAGAACAGATCAATAATGATTGCAAGCTCACATACTTTAGAAAAACTAATGAATGGATCTTATCGTGGGTATATGAAAGACAATAAAAATTAAAAGAAACACACGAGAGGTTTGTGGCTATCGTCCAGGAGTTCGAACTCTATTTGTAATGTACTCACCTACAAAAGGAATCACAGAGGTTGGTAATAAATGATTCGCAGAGGTTGTTGAGACTTTGCTTGCATGCAGACAAACTAAGTTCGGTAAGGGACAAGCTTAAGAACTCAAGTTCTAAGAGAAAGAAAAAGAAGGCTGAAAGAATTGATAAAGCAATCTCAAGAATTTTTAGAAGGATCCGGAACCTGAGGAACGAATTACACAAGAAAACTGTGAATTATCTTGCAAAAAATTATGATATTTGTTATTATACCCGAATTCAATGTTTCAAACATGGTGAGACGAGAAAAGAGAAAAATCAATTTAAAACTGTGCGAAGTATGTTAACGTGGTCACATTACTCATTCCGACAACGGTTGAAACACAAAGCTGATGAGACTGGTATGAAAATGATCATAGAAATTGAAGCCTATGCCTCAAAAACATGTTCTGCATATGGAAACATACAGAATAATGGAGGGAGAAAAGTTTACAAGTGCAAGGGATGCGATGTGATTATGGACAGGGATGCAAATAGAGCGGGGGATATTCCTTCGCGCGTTGCTTGATGGAGCCATATGCATGCATATGTAGGAATTGGTAATCATAGATTATTAATGATGTATTACAATCCATCCGGCTTGATATATTCGACTAGTAATTGTATTGTTGTTCTAAATAACTGTGTGAATTTTCACACGATTTAATAAGTTTACGCCATTTACGCCGTTTCACGTGATGAAGTTAATTTTTAACCGGGAAATTCTACAAATATATTCGCGCAATTTTTTTCCTTTATTTTCTTAAACAAAAAAAAAATAAAATAAAATAAAATAAAATATGGCTTCAAAATTCCATGGAAGTCTTTCGCAAGACCTTTCAATAATGTTAAATGATTCTGACGATCATAATATTCTTATCCAAGCTGGAGAAAATGCTAACATAAAAGAATTTCGAGCGCACACGAATATCTTGAGGGCTCGTTCGCCTTATTTCAAAACCGCACTTTCGGCTAAATGGGTAACTAAAAAGAACAATATGTTTGAATTTAAAAAACCGAATGTTAATCCTGTCGTTTTTGATATGATTCTCAAGTATGGCATTTTCTAACATCTGCGCCAAATCAATTTTAATATTACTAATCTTTTCCTTCTTCTAATATTTAAGATATATTTATACGGGAGAAGTGGATTTGACCAAACTATCAGGTGCTGACATTCTTGGATTGTTGGTTGCGTCCGATGAACTTCTTCTAGAGGAATTATTTAAATATGTTCAAGATCATTTAATTGAAAAACAAACGGCTTGGGTCCAGCAAAATTTTGTTCTAGTTCTACATACAGTCGTTAAGCTTGATAGTTGTAAGAAACTACAAGATCATTGTCTTAATTCTATCTGTGCAAACCCACAACCATTTATCACCTCAAAAGATTTTCCATCACTTGACAAGGATATACTTTACGGATTGCTTAAGCGAGAAGACTTGAAGATCGAAGATGCTGTTGCTTGGGATTATTTAATTAAATGGGGTATTGAACAAACTCCTAATTTAGGAAGCAAGAATAGCGATAGGACTAAATGGAAAGACAAAGATTACGAAGCATTGAAGAGCACATTAAGTCGATTTATTCCCCTTATATGTTTTTCAGAAATTAGTTCCAAAGATTTTTATGATAAGGTTCGTCCTTACAAACCTATTATTCCTCATCATATTTATGAGGAAATTATGGAATTTTATATGAAGGATACGTTACCGAAAACGACTGTTTTACCACCTCGATGCCTTAAGTTTCATATGAATCAAAAATTATCAAGCCAAGATTTGCTTATGTAATTGCTAATTGGATTGAGAAAAAAGACGGGATAGCTGTTCGAAATAAAACGAGTTCAAAATATAATTTCAATCTGTTGTATCGTGGTAGTCGTGATGGTATGAATGCGATTAACAATTATAGTTCTGGCCAAAGAAGTGTCTTAGTTTTAGTCAAAGATCAATCTTCCAAAATATATGGCGGGTATAGTCCGATAGGACTTAATGTTTCTGGAAGTTATGGTACTTGGCAATATACGTCAGATAGTTTTATTTTCTCTTGTGAAAATGGAGATTTCAAAAATGTGAAAATTAGCCGCGTAACAAATTATAGTTATGCGATATATGATAATTATAATAATGGATTTAATTTTGGTAGTACTTTTTATATGAGTGGTCAAAATGTATATTTACAATATCAAGGGTATTATGATGCTAACGCTATAAATTCAAATACGAATACTAATTTTGTTCCTAAGGAAATTGAGCTTTTTAACGTTATTTCTTCGTAATTTGTTAAATTCAAATAGTTTACTTAAATATAAAATAAAAGGGAAATATTATAAAATTTTGATTAGATTTTTGATTTTTTATCAAGTGAAAATGAATTTGTTATACTTTTTTAGCATACGATAAATAAGTTTAGACATTTGGGAAAAAAAATATCGTACTTCATCCAACTAGTCGAGTTCTCCTTATATAAGAATTTTCAAGTCTTAAAATACAGTTTAACGCGTTCGTTCGAAAATTACTGCGCTAACGGAATCCCGCGTCCGATTGTGTGATTGGTATGCGACAAATTATTTAGATTAATTAGTTCAATGTACATAAATTTAAAATTTCATATTATTTTGCGCATAAATATTAAAGTCTTGGATATTTATAAAAATCGTGCAATAAAATTAAAAATTACATTATGATGAAAAAACTCTCCGGTTTGAAATTAAAATGAGACATACAGCCCAACGACAAACTAAAGATCTTCACATCATGACATGATCGATTTGGTTTCCGGCTTTAATAGGGTGTTAGACCTGGAATCGTCGTAAAACCAAACTAACAAAACTAATAAACTTGTTATCACAATTATCTCCATGGCCATTCCTAAGAAAAATTAACGATTAACAAACAAAACAATTTATTATCACGATTCACTTGTGTAATTATGATGAAGACAAGAAGAAGGTTGAAAGTGTAAAATAGTAACTTTATTTATTTGTAGAATTATAAGTCTAGTCCCAAGACTTATTCAGAAAACTATCTGATCGAATTCTGTCGACTCAAGGCCGATTTACAGGTCTATTTATATAAAATTGTTAACTAGTACTATACTATGCTTTTTGATAATTATAAACGATACATATAATATAAGTAATAAAAAGAAGACTATATAATATACGGATGGATTGAATCGATCATTAATATATATTACTATATATAAAACAATCAATTAGTGTATGCATATAGTGAATT